CTGTATGTCTGAAGTACGGTAGCACTGCTACTACCTGATCTGTCGAGCGAAATGCTGTGATAAGAGGGCAGACAGAGTTGCAGCCACGGAGATCGTAGAGGAGATCCAGTTCATTCAATATCCGAGCCGGGCTGCTGGTCACATAGATCTTCTTAATAGCAACATATCTCGGTTTTCTCTTCGTCTGTGAAAAGCCATCGCCGCTCCTATATGTACCCGCGTGATGCTTCTTCAGAGGAGGCGGTGTCCATTTTGAGTCCTTCTCTTCAAGATCCCAATAGTTGTCGTACTTCTCGTATTCCAGGTCCTCCGCTTTATATACGGTTGAAAAAGTCCCTATATTTCTTATTAGCAATGCCCAATTGGGTCAGTGACGTCGACTTTACCTTCTCCGATCCGATTTATCAGCCGGTAGCGTGTTGATATATTATGCCCACTAAAAGTCTGGTGGAACTTCTCGATATCCTCCTGAACTGAGGGATCAACGGCATCATCGGTGTCATCGGAATCTTCGGAGTAGCCGTCTTCTTCTTGCAAATCATATTCCAGCTCCGGGTTCCTCCCGTCCCTCCCAATAGGCGCATCTGCCAAATCGCTTCTCTGGGCCTCGTCCTGGTGAACATCAAAGGAAGCCTTCACATAACGAGGACGAGCTGCTGCCATTCTTTAAAGTAGAAATCAAATTTACAACGGATGCCCTCCCAGTAGCAAATCAAAGAGATCCTCAAATGTCATCAATTTATACCTGAACAATCTCCAATTACACCTACAGACCTAGTGGGGTCCGTACCAGCTCCACTAGGAGACGCGAAGAGTAGCTTGTTTACAAATATTCGTGCCAACCAATCATTGGCCGCCTTTCGAACTTTATTCGTGACATCGACACAACAACCGCCATCGAAAACATCTTGGATGATATTTTGATACATGTGTCTATTCAAACCCTTCACTCTTGCGACCTAGTGTCGCATTTATTTCATCATGGATACGATTAATTTTGACATCAACGATGCGCTCAAAAATTATATGAGCGATCCTGCTTCAATATCCACTCCAGAAGCCGATTCGAGCCTTGTCGATTGCGAGAATGACCCCGAGTCCTTGACGAATTCCTTGATCAACACGGTGCTGAATCCGATTATTGATTCAGTGGCAGAAAATCCGGATGCTATTACCAGAAGCTCCTCCTTTGATTCTATACAATTTCTTCTTAAGTGTGCACCAGCGTCTCATAAGTTCAATCAAAACTACCCCACAGAATCCAGCTCTGAGAGTTTTAATCATTCTAGATCAACATCTTTCCTTCCAACCCATGCGCTAAGTAAAATATTCGACCTTGTAGTTTCTGGTCTTTCGGCAGAAGCGGATATTATTCATAATGACCTTGAGAGCGATGAGCAAGACCTTGTGGCACATCATAAACAACTACTCGAAGTCTTCGGCTTTTTGTTACAGTGGACCATCGCGGCAGTAGAGGTGAAAGCAGCAGAGAAGCCTACAGCAGCACCGGTAGCCAGAGGTCGAGGCAAAGCGGCAAAACCCAAGGCCAGCGCAAAAGACGGAAACTGGGATTCTTCTAATCAATTACAGACAGCTTTGGATACTATGTGCAAGGTGCTCAAATTGAAGCTATCGAGATTATTCTTGACAACGTCGGAGAGAGACACATTTGTCAGTCTGTTTACGAGGCCGGTCTATCTAGTTTTGGAAAGTGAACAAAGGGTCAAGAACACTTCGATACGAATGCATGCTTTCAAAGTCCTCTGCATTGCTATTAAGCACCATGGCCATGGTTATGGTAGGTTTTATATCTTGCAGGTCCAGTATATGCGGTCAAACTAACAGCGAGCCAGGTGCACAAATTTCCATTGTCCAGAATTTAACATACTTTGAGCACCTTGCGGAACCTATGGCAGAATTCTTACATATCCTCGCTGAGCAATATGACTACCCTCAACTGAGTGACGAAGTTCTCCGCGAGATCAGCAACAAAGAGTTCAATAGCAATGATACTAAAGGTCCGAAGTCGGTATCTTCATTCATCGTTAAACTCTCCGAACTTGCGCCAAGACTGGCTATGAAACAAATGACAATGCTCGCAAAACAACTGGATAGCGAGGTAAGTGATGACTTTAGTTGGCAGATCCTGTTATTGACTTTGGTAGTCTTATGCGCTGCGTTGTGCGCTTATTGAGGTTTGCGGAAACCTCGTTGCAGATTTGAGCAAGCAAGAGGAGCGAGGTGATAACCACAAATCCCAACTGAATGCATTCTTCGATGTTCTTGAAGAGCGATTTCTAGACGTCAACCCATACTGCAGATGTCGTGCTATCCAAGTGTACATCAAGTTATGTGATCTTGAACAAAAATTTCCAAAAAGGAGACAAAAAGTGGCCGAATTAGCCGCGCGAAGTTTAGAAGATAAAAGCAGCAATGTCCGTCGAAATGCTATCAAGCTTTTAGGGACTTTGATTAAAACGCACCCGTTTGGTATTATGCATGGGTCTCAACTGTCATTGAAGGAGTGGACTAGTAGGTTGGAGGCAGTTGAGGCAGAGCTTAATGCACTTAAGCCACCTACGGGAGCCCCTAATCTGGGGGAGAACGCCGGAGGTGATGCAGACCCTGCACTGCTGGATGAACCTACTCAGCTTGAGTCTGATTCCCCAGAGAAAGAATTAACTGAGGAGCAGAAATTAGCAATTATTCAGAAAGCCCAAGAGGACGCGGCTACGAATGAGGCTATGAGCAAATTGACCCTGACCAGGAGATATTATATTGAAGCTTTGAAATTTATTGAGGTACTGCATCAGGCAACACCAACGATCTGTCAGCTGCTTGGTTCCAAGAACAAAAGCGAGGTGATAGAAGCCATGGACTATTTTGAGATCGGCGATGCGTATAATATAGAGCAGAATAAGCTGGGCATTCGACGGATGCTGCGACTCATCTGGACAAAAGGCAACAGTGACGAAGGCAAAGGAGTACAAAATCATCTCATCGAATGCTATAAACGCCTGTTTTTCGAGGCTCCTGATTCATATAACTCTAATGATGCGGCCAACTATATTGCCCGAAATATGATCAGCTTAACTTTTGGAGCAACTCCGGCAGAATTGACTTCTCTTGAGCAGCTACTTAGTACTATGATGAAGTCAGGCCATATCTCTGACCTAGTTATCTCAAAGCTGTGGCAAGTTTACGGCGTTCAGAAACGGGAAGTCTCAAAAACCCAAAGAAGGGGTGCAATTATTGTACTTGGTATGCTTGCTACAGCAAATCCTGAGATTGTTGTTGGGGAAATGGAAACAATGCTACGAATCGGCCTTGGAGGGTTGGGTCGGTCGGACCTACAACTTGCTAAATATACTTGCATCGCTCTTCGACGAATATACCCTTCTGGTCGACAAGCAAAAGAGATGTCGACTAAAATTGCAAAGCTTCCAAACGACCATGCTGTCCTTGTTAAATTGGCCGCTATGGTCGAGATAGAGTCCGATAACAAAGAATGGTATGGTGTCGCCGAGCAAGCAATAAGTGCAATATACGCGCTTTCAAAGCATCCTGATACCCTTTGCACCGAGATCCTACGCAGGAAAACAAGACAAGTCTTTTCTCGGAGAGCTTCACCAACCCCTGAGCCAGAGGAGCAGAAGCAAGACATCAAAGAAGCATCTCCGACCCCCTCGGTCGACCAGCCAAAGAAAGGCCCAGAGAATAAAGTTAAAGGATCCGTTGCTTTGTCTCAACTCGTCTTCATTGTCGGTCACGTTGCGATAAAACAAATCGTACACCTGGAGCTTTGTGAGCTTGATTTTAAAAGGCGAAAGGCTGAAAATGAGAAGAACAAGCCTGAAGAAAGTGCAGCTGACAAAGCAGCTAAAGAAGCAGCAGATGATCTTGATATGATCGGTGGTACAACGGAAGATGATTTCACAGAGGCCATGGCTCATATACGTGAACGCGAACTTTTGTTTGGCCAAAATTCCCTCCTGTCTAACTTTGGCCCTCTCGTCACGGAAATTTGTTCCAATAATACTACCTATCGAGATCGCAACCTTCAAGCTGCAGCCACATTGTGCTTGGCAAAGCTCATGTGTGTTAGCTCTGAATACTGTGAGCAAAATCTTCCTCTTCTTATCACCATCCTAGAGAAGTCGAAGGACCCGGTCATTCGTTCCAACGTTGTCATTGCTCTTGGAGATATGGCTGTCTGCTTCAACCACCTCATTGACGAGAATACTGATTTCCTCTACCGACGCTTGAATGACAAGGATGCAAGTGTGAAACGCACTTGTTTAATGACCCTCACGTTCCTTATTCTTGCAGGTCAGGTCAAGGTCAAGGGCCAGTTAGGAGAGATGGCCAAGTGTCTAGAAGACGAAGATAAAAGAATTGCCGATCTCAGTCGCATGTTCTTTACGGAATTAAGTACCAAAGATAATGCTGTGTACAATCATTTCGTGGATATGTTCAGCTTGTTGTCTGCCGAGAAAGGACTTGAGGAGGATGCTTTGCGGAGAATTATTAAGTTCTTAGCGGGATTCATCGAAAAAGTAGGTTTTATCACCTCTCATCACACAACTATTTACGCAGACTAACATTCTTCCAGGATAAGCATGCTAAGCAACTGGCTGATAAACTTGCTGCGAGGTTAGCAAGATGTGAAACTGAAAGACAGTGGAACGACGTTGCCTATGCTCTAAGCCTTCTTCAACACAAGAACGAAGAAATTAACAAACTAGTCGCAGGAGGATTCCGGGTTGTGCAAGCAAATGCTTAAGCTGCATTGACTGCATTGACTGATATGTATGATAAAGACGCAATTCGGTCTGGCTGGAGTTTTGGTAATGGTACTGTCACGAGAAATGCTTATGGATATCCAAATATATTATGACACGCTCTCAGATTATGGGCTAAACGATTTCTAGAGGAGTGTTTTGTGCTTTATTTTCAAAATAATAAAAAAGATATAATATGAGCTCCTCCCAGACAAAAGATGTTGCGTATGAGAGTCGAACTCATGACTTCCTGTGCTGCCAGAGGCCAATGAATGTGAAACAGGCGTCCTAAACCACTGGACTAACGCAACTACTTTTTTAGGGTCTTGTTTATATCAGTTCATATATGACTCTCCAGGCTTCCAGCTTCCTTGTCTCAGACTCTTTGTTATATTCTGAACTGTGGTATTGTGAAACGAGCAAGGGGGAGGCTTGGCAATCTCTTGCAAACAACATACAAACATTACGATCTGAGCATAATTTGAGTGATTCTCAATCAGCAATGGAAGGCATCATGGTAAGGATAATAATCCAGTTTCTATTACCAGTAATGGCAATTATGTGACTAACATCGCAACAACTTCAAGCTTAACCACCCAAGATAGCGATGGTCGGAATTCGAGCCAACAAAATATCCTATCAGTACAGATAGAGGGCTACTAAGCTATGATAAACGACTAAAACCAAGGGTATTCAGAAACATTTCTATATAAGCACAGCTTCCATACTCGTGTATAGAGCCTTATCCCAAACGCCTTGCATCCCAATCTATCAGGAGCCATTTCTCATGAATATTTACTTTCTTCATATACCTGAACCTTATCCGAATACTCTCTAATATTGCTGACAATATTATTTTGGATCTCGTCCCCTCTTCCTGCAGCTACCCGTAAAATCATGTCGTTTAGATTTTGTCTCCCAAGTATATCAACATGATCGCCAGTGTTCGGTCCACCACGGGGACTAAACCTATCTGGTTCATGCGGCATTTCGAAGACTTTAATTTGTATACCAGCTGGATTGTATCGATGGAAGTTCCAGCCTTTATTACACATATAACCTACACTAAGAAGGTTAACAGTACCGTCGCCTTCTCCCATAACAATCCCACGGTCGACATGTCCTTGGGTTATACTTGTATCGATAGTAAAGTTTACAGATCTTAGTGGGTTCTCAGAATCATGGTAAAAGTAGGCCCGCTCTGTCGGCTTTCCGATACCTGTATACTGATTAGAGATTATCATATACAGTTCCAGGTATGAATTCACGTACCATAGAAACAGTATATTTTCAAACTCGGTGCAAGAGGAAGACGAGTTTCAAGTGGGTTTATCCATTTTCGTGGATCCTTCTCATTTGCTTCTACCTCAGCGGTAGTTTGAGCAATGCCATTGGAGTAGCTGCCCTTAACTTGTCTCTTATACCAGTCCTCAGTGGAGTTGAAAAGAAGGTCCATACTCTCAGATACTGTTAGATTCCTTACTGATTTCGACTGGTTTGAGTATCTAAAATTGAAGAAGCTACCAAAGCTGGTGTTTTGTCCTGGAAGGTCATCTGGAGCCCATGTTGAATTACCCCAGACAGCCTCGCCGCCGATCGGAAGCATTGAGCTCATGCCTGGCATAGCTCGGAATAGCTCAGCGCGCTCTGCTCGACTCAAAAACTTCTCTAATCCATAGACCGCAAATGCATTCATCTGAGCAGTATCCCTCATCTCCCCAGAAAATAAAGCGGGGACATCCTTCAATGCGCCGAGCATGCAACCACTAATATTGATCCATGAGTCGACATATTTCTCTACCCAGTCATCTCCGCCTCCGCCTCCTTGTGGTGATGCGACCCAATGGAGGAAGTAAAATGTCACCTGGCTACCCATACTGTGTGAAACAAGAGTTACCTTCTTATTAGATACTCTGTAAGCGACCTCGATGTACATCTTCAAACGAGTGAAATACTGATCCCGAACTTCAAGGTTGGCAAAGGACAACCGCCAGTCATAGGCCGCAGTGAAGCTATTAGTTGGATCATACCCGATGGTAGCTAGGTTCTCGAGAATCTTGTTCCTAGATAGAAAATTAGGCTATGAAATAAGTTGGACGTACAGAGCTTACCAGATCCAGTAGCCGGTAATAAAAAAATCTGCGGCATCAAAGCCTTGTGCAGCTCTTAGCTTTATTCCATCGGGCGGATCAAGGCCTGTCTCCTTGTCTAGCATTATATGCTTTTTCCAACCTTCCTTGTCTAGCACTAAGGCACGCATCATACTCCAACTCCCCCAGAGTCGTTTCCTGAAATAAGGGCGCGACATATTAGTTGTGCCCCAAGATTCCAATCCCGTAGAAATAACACCTGGTATCATTATCACAGGATGGTTGGCATTGATACCTTGCGACTTGAGGTTCAACCCCACCGAAAAGGAATCGTAGTTAACGACGTCACGTTCCCCTTTCTATTACTCTATGTTAGCTTGTGCATTTGCAAGAGTACTGGGGAGGGCACTGTACCACTAAATCTCTAGCATCTCTTACAAATCCGGCCGGGAGAACATCCATCAAGCTGTCCATACTCAGCTCTCCAATCTCTGGGAAGTCAATGAGATCGGTTCTCTCAGCAAAGAAACCCGCGACTAAAAGGCCAAAAAGACCTCCAAGAACGAATATAAACCCATTTCGGCGCTTAGATGTCTTGCCGTTCTTATGATTTGCAGTCTTTGGAGTCGCTATAATAATATGCTTCTCGCCTTTTGGCTTGTCCTCCTGCTCACTGCTCTTCTCATCCGGCTTAGCCGTTTCTTCGCCTTGTCCCCGCCGTCGCAAAGACGACATTATTTCAAGCGATATCTTTACTCAATTGTTGGCAGTAGCAATATCACATAGAGATATCTAACATGGTAAATTTGGTAGAAGATCTGCTTTATGGTATGGAAAGAAAAATATAGTTGAATGAATAACTTTGAGCTCGGTTTGAGAGGGATGCTGTTTACAGACCTTTAATAGGCTTAGCGCGGGACATTCAGTGCGTGCAGTCTCAGCCTTGCATGTGAAAGTTCGTTGGGCATGATCCTCTTAGTTGCTTGGCTCTTTTTCAGCCTCACTAACATAGCATGTTCAACTCTCGCCAAGCTCCACCTCCCATACAATGACCGAGGAGTCTAGAGTGTCTTCTCTACCGGCAGAGCTAAGATATATCCAGTATGAACACTCTCTCGAAAAACAATATTTGCCGGCTATCAGGGCCTTAATTTCAAAAGACTTGAGTGAGCCGTACAGCATTTATGTCTACCGGTACTTTCTTTACCAATGGGGAGATCTCTGCTTCATGGTAATCAATCAATGCTCCCCTCTACCGAAGACGCGGATAAAGAACGATCCTGACTTAGTCTAGGCTCTTGACCCTGTGTCATCTGCACTAGTAGGCGTTGTAATATGCAAACTTGAAAACCACCAGTCACATTCTCCTTCAACTTTAAGGGGTTATATTGCCATGTTAGCTGTATCGTCTACATACAGGAATCACGGCATTGCTACAAATCTAGTACGGAGAGCTATAGATGCTATGATCGAGAGGAATGCAGACGAAGTGGTATTGGAAACCGAAGCCACGAACACGCCTGCTATGAAACTGTATGAACGATTGGGATTTCTTAGAAGTAAGAAGTTACATCGATATTACCTGAATGGAAATTCTGCATATAGGCTAGTTCTGCATTTGAAAAGAACGGTAGATATGACAGGAAATGAATTATAGATCAGCGGCTCATAGTCACGAAAAAGAGACGAGATAGCGCAAACATAATTCTAGACCTGGTAATCCTGTATGAACAAAATCCAAGGAAGAGACTGAAAGGGTATCCTAAAACTATCAAGACTCCATTTCTCGCCAATATTTTGTATGTTCATCACGACTGTGAAAAAATCCATCCAGTGTGTTTCTTACAGGGATTGATGTTTGTTTCAACAAATCGCCGGAGTTATACATGGTGGGTTTTATATCCCATTCATTCATGCTCTTAATATCGAGATAAGTATATGCATCTACAGCTATAGGTAAGCATTAGTCTTGCGAGTGGGGTTATTTTGCTTGCCTGGCTTGTAGTAAATGGGCCGACCCTTTGTCTCAACAAGACCCAGATCACGCAGCTTACGAATAACTCTTCGGATATCCTCTTGATCTGAAAAGTTTTTGGTATAGATGCATATAACCCTGGCTACTCCCCTATTCGCATTAGGATCACGAGGAGAAACTTTTGCTCCTGTTCCAAGCTGATCTTCAGCCGTATGCCGAGCAACAATTGACCAAACTGCGTCAACTTCGGAGTCGGAGCAAAACAACATCCACTGAATCCGGACATTAGTATATTAACCAATCTGTTGACAAACCAAACAAGCTATATTATAATAGTCTTACCTTGCCGGACCTCACACGCGTCTCTTGGGCAGCCTTGAGAATTCTCTCCACGATTTGGGTCTTTTGAACATTCACTGCTTTATTGATTGCAAAGTGTGGCTGGCCAGCCTTTTGCCTTTCGACTTTCTTCCTCAGCACAGTCAATTCTTCAAGGAGAGCTTGACCAATCTCTCTGAACCGCGCAACATCGCTCTCCGGTTCAGGGGGAGCTTCTGTAATAGTCTCGTTTGCAGACGACTCCGATGGAAGAACCTGCTTTCCATAGCGTGGAACATATGGATTAGAAATAAAGATCCATGGGATAGAAATGGACTGTAGAGTCGTAGAAGGTGGTAACCTCCTTAAGAACTCATCTACAGTTTCGCTGAGTTGACGACCACACAAGAGTCCCTCATAGATGTTGTACTTAGGAGCAGCTTTCTTTCCCAGCTCCGCTTCAACATTAGAGTTGGCGATCTCGGTCAGCGAAGAGCTCTTGGACTTCCACCACTGCAATGCATCAAAACTACTTGCGCGTAGCTCAAGATTTCTCTTGGTGTTGTCATCCCCTATGACTTCATTATTTAATTGTTCTTGTATTTTCTAAAGAATAAAATAAAAGTTTTAAACACACCATAAAAATCAGACTCATCAGAAAGATATTCAATATCATCTGTCATCTTTAGCTTGAACGCATTATTGATCGACTTGCGGTAAACAACCCGACCCGGAGTGGCGGAAGAAATAAGGTAATCAGATGTTTTGATCAACAACAATCACAGAAACTCAGACAAGACACGGCGTAAAATCAAAACAATAGACCAAAACTTAAAAGAGGCAAAAATCAATATACTTCCCTTTCATTTTGCTATGATACCAAAAGACTGTGATTTGAAAAGGAAAGAAAAGGAAAGGGAAAGAAAAC